GCTATAAAGCAACTCAACGAGTCACCTCAGGGTAACGCCGAAGATTCGGACAGATTATTCAATTCCACAGTTAGTATAGGCATAAAATTATCTTGCGTGATTTAATCCCCCTTAATCGAATGAGCAAATAATTACATATTCAATAGCGATTTACTGCCTAAACAAACGTGAAAATTAAAAATTTCAAGCTCGTACCAGAGATCATTACTTTTTTTTTACCAAAAAAATCGCATTGAATTTCCATAAATAACTTTGAAGCCTTTTCATCATCTTTAACTACGCCCCAAAAATAGAAATAAATCGAAAATGTTACGCTCTTTCGCATTGATAACAAACACGAGTTATTTTCATTCGTAAGCCCAACCATAAATATTCGTCGTATGTGTATGTGTGTGGGTGAACACGTCAAGCTCGTTACTATCTTCTAACTAGCGTCACGTTTTTGACATTGTTATAGGATTTGTGCAAATGTTTCTCGTGTAGATTGAAGATAGACTTCCGATATATCCAATAACGCTCATTCTACATTTCTAAACAATAAGATTTAGAGGATGAATTAATTAAATAAATAAAAATGGCAAAAAGCTTCCGAAAAAAAGTTCAATCCTAGCAATTTTTCATCTCGAAAGGAATAAACAAGTTTCAAGTTGTTGATACGAGTTTTTTGTTTTCATTTTTGTCCAAAATTAATTTTGATAACTACAAGTACGAGATTTCACATAACTTTACAGATACGGGACACTTTGATTATCACAACTGAAGATCATTTGAACCAGGAAAAAATTATTCATAAAATGAATTTCTTAGGTAATTTGAGATTACACTTTTTTGCACTTTATTTACACTATCAATTTTGCAAACTGCGTTTAAGGAAGCATTCATTTGAATTATGAATTGTAAAAAAATTTCTGAGTTAATTAACATAAAAATTATATCATACATAAAATTATAGCGATTGAACTATGACACACAGTTTAGAAACGTTTTATTCTTAGTTTTAATAATTAGATTATGAACCATATTATCAAACAGAATCAAACATTTCTCGCATACAATTTTTTTATTGCTTTTTGCATCCCATCTTCAATCGCTCGTTTAATTTTAATGTATTACATATTTGACGCATCCTGAGTTTTCTGTACAATTAATTCCAGGGTATAATTGAAACTTGAAGTATTTATTATCATTACTTTCAACATTAAATTCAGGAGATGAATAATTCTCGATTGCCTACAGTCATTCGAAGTACTCGATGGAAAAATTACTATGTTCACAGTAAATGTATACCTTAGTAAAATTTACAATAATTTTTGTTAAACTAGCTCTTATTCAAAGAACTTCGCGCATCATAGAATCATTTTTTAATTTCTCATTATTTCGCAATAATATACCATTGATATAATTCTGATGGCATGGTTCAGCTTCGTTCGAGCAAGAGCAAAGAGTCGCGCTCGTTCTCTTGTTTACGTCGTGCGACCTTCGCATAGGACAGTGCGGATATGAGCGTGAGCTGACGCTCTTCGTTAGATACAGTTTTTCAAAATATTGCGAGGATTGCACATCCAGTCTTTTTGCGTTTAGTTAATTTGGTGTGTAAAACTGAGAAGATAATTAAGAACAAATTAAGTTAATAGTTAATGAAATTCCAAGCGAAAAATATGGAATTCAGTAATACACTTAATTGTGCAGTCAGGTAATTTACATTTGTTAGAGTAAAATTATAAAAAACATCGAAACAAAATACTTCATCGTATTGAGGTTATTTCAGAATTAAAGAGGAACCAAGCGATGTGCCGTCTATAGAAAATAATTGTGAAGCGATTGACAAGAAACCCGACCTAAAAAACGTTCAACTCTTATCATTTTCGCGAGAGAGTTCGGTAAGTGATGATAATCATGTGTAACTCGTATGCTCGTTTTTTAGAGAAATTTTTTTACATAGCTTTAATTTTTTAACAGACCTGTACCCTTCGAAAGTGTGAAGAAAATCATGAAATTAAACTCAATGATGAAGTGGAAATAGTTGTTGAATGTGAAGACGTCAAGCCCAACACGGATATATTAGCAATTAAGAAAATGGATGATTATACTCCTAATCACTTGAGGAATTTAAAATATAGCGATGGTTGTGAAATCAAAATTAAAATAGAAACCGCAGAAGATGTTAAACTGAAATGTTTCAGTGACGATGCACAAGAACAGAATTTGAATATTGACCATGAATTTGTCGATCAAAATAAAAAAAGAAGAATAACAAAAAAGTTTAACAACGAACATAACCTCAAAATAAACATCGGTACAGTCCATACATGTAAAACTTGTGGAAAGACGTTTAAACGCAAGTTCAATCTGGATAGGCATGTTAAATCAACGCATGATGGTGTTACATATGAATGCGATACGTGTGGAAAGAAGTTTACGCAAAAAGAAAGTCTCAAAATTCACATCGATAGAGTACATAATGGTGTCAAATGTGCATGTGACATATGCGGAAAAAAATTTACAAGTAAGGCTTATCTCAGAATCCACATCGATTCGGTACACAACGGTATTTTACATGAATGTGGTGAATGCGAGAAGAAATTTTCAGATAAGAGTCGTCTTAAAAAACACATCGATGTGATGCACAATGGTGTCGCACATACTTGTGATATATGCAGGAAGAAATTTTCAACGAAAAGCAATCTCAAACAACATATCGATTCGGTGCATCTAGGTACCACTCATGCATGTGATTTGTGCGAAAAGAAATTCACACAGAAGAGCTTCTTAAAGCCCACATCGATATGATGCACAATGATATCGCACCTACTTGTGATATATGCAGGAAGAAATTTTCAACGAAAAGCAATCTCAAACAACATATCGATTCGGCGCACAACGGTGTCACTCACAAATGTGATATTTGTGGAAAGATATTTTCACAAAAAAGTTATCTCAAAACTCACATCGATTCGGTGCACAACGGTGTCACTCCTGAATGTGATATTTGCGGAAAGAAATTCACACAGAAGGGTTATCTTAAAGTCCACATAAATATGATGCACAATGAATTCACTCACTGATCTGTGATGTATGCTGCTAAACATTCATACTTGAATATAATTTGAAAACCCATATCGATTTGGTGCATTTTGTTGTCAACAATACATCACCTCGATGAAAAATAATTGAAATAACTGCTTTGGATGCGAAAAAAAATTCTCAATGAAGATACGTCTTGAAGTCAGCATCACTGCAGTTTATCAACCACGAATTACAATGTAAAATGTGATGTTCGGAAGATCAATAACAAAATACGAATATCATGAATTATTCTAATATTATTTCATTGTGTAAATATAATTTTTAAGTTTTCGAAAAATCAATAAAAATTTTTGGAGGATGATTAAGCACGTTATTAAATGTTATAGCTAATTCACGAATAAGGTAGCATCGTATGTATATCTTCAGTTGTCTTGAATGCATTGTCTGACATGCATGTTATGTCCGACATTATGAGCCGTTAACTATTACATTTTTGTCACAAACTGCAACAAACTATTATTTGAAACTTTTTCTACATCTTCCTATTTTCAAGACTTTTTTTTACGATTTTTATTTTAATTTAAATGCTAGCCGTTTCTATTACGTAACGATTTTTTATTTAAATATTTTTTATGTATCTGTCGCTACAAAACTCCTAATTTTACTGCTGCTTGTATGCCCTTTTCAAGTAAATTAAACTTTTTCAATAAGTTTTTTTTAGTAAAACTTGAATCGTTTCTTAGCATTGTAAAATTAAAATTTTTTTTATTCATATTTACCTTATGATACTTCAATAACGTTTGATTAATACAACCAAACTTTGATTACAAAAAATTTACACCAGGACTTTTAATTAACGAGTAAAAGTATAGAAGGAAATGGAAACCGCGAGTTTTGTTTACACTGATCCAGATCCAATTCCATAATCAGATTATTTTTACTTAATTGGCTCCGAAATCATATCTTGTTTACACCAATGCAAATTGATTCATTTCAATTACTATTAAGTAAAAGTTTCAACAAAAGACTCATTTATAATGGTTTGTGTACTTGTATATATCACATAAGTGATACATTGCTCCGTAACTAGTGCGTTGACCTTATAGCGATATTTACAAAAAACACGATTTTTCTTCCTCTGTTACAAAAATATTATTACAGACAAAATACCCATAAAAAATATCCATTCATCATTCTTGGATACGAACAATTATCAAACAGACGACGAAAATTTCAATTCCGATTTCAGCCTCGAATTTCAAAGATTTTCTAATAAAATCGCTCGCGTGCCCGCGCGCTCACGTGGGCCGATTCGTCACTTCGACACTTGTTCCAAAAGTCATCGATAGCACACGGTACAGTATCAATGCCATATTATACACACGCGTGTCTGCCTGTCCTTCGCGCGCGAAGCTTTCGCGGCTTTTTAACAGTAATAATAACGATATAGTACGAAAACATACGCGCGGCGCCGAGAATAGCTGCCTCGCGCTCGTAAAACAAAAGAAAATACACTCCGCACAATACCGCAACTGTGCTTTCGCGTAAGTATAAGCATTATACCTACACACACGCGCACCCCTCGCGAGCCGCTGCCGAACATGGAGTTGGGTTACCGCGTCTGGCAGTAATGCATCGCTGCGATCGTTATAATACGTGCACGGGACGAGTTCTGGCTTCGTCGATCGGTTTGCGGTAAAAGATCGTGGCACAATAGGAGCGAGCTAGAGAGGAGAAAAAAAAAGCTCTCTCGTTCTCTCTCGCTAGCGATGACAAGCAAGGGGGAGAGGGCGGCTCGTAGCTACTGCTGCTGCTGCTGCTGGCCGAGTGCCTATGCTCTTTTATATATTTATAACCAATCAAAGACCAACGCTGCTGCACCTTGCGTGTCGATCGTCGTCGAACGCGCACACGCACACGTCTTTTATATTTTATGCGCGTTCATTTGACACCGCGGCGGCGGCGGCTCTGGACCGCGCAGCGTTGCACGCACGGATCGAAGTGCGCGATTATTCGCATAAATCTCTTTCTCTCCGATACAATACATTTGTTATATTACCTTCTGGGGGGCGGTGGCAATGTTACGCGATCGATAATACATCGATAATAAAAAATTATAATCCAGTGCGGGGTGCGCGTACGCGAGGATTCTGGATACAAGTACAGTTTTACACATGCTCGTGTCGACGCAAGATGAGCGTCTGGAACCAGCTGAACGTCGAGGAGTACGCGAACTCGGTCGTGTCGCGCGACAATCTCGGCGGCGTCGGCGGCAGCTTGCGACGCATCAGTAGCTTCCGCAACAACAGCAGCAGCAGCTTCAGAAGAAAGCAACACTTCACGGTAATGAGAACGTTTCTTCTTTTTTTTTTTTTTACTTGTCTTACGGGACGATTTAAATCCCCAGAATTATATCGTTAAATGTAGCGAGGTAAAGTGCGTTGATTTTTTTGTTACCCAATGATACCTTTGGATACACGATGAGTGCATAGCGATTTTTTTGGATAAAATTTAAATGTACAAGCAGATTTACCGATGCAATACAAGTTTCATTTTTCTTTCCAGAGCTCTTGTCGTAGCGCTAATTGAATCGATAAATAAAACGAAAAAAAACCAAAGTCAAAAAGTTACACGTCGTTGTTAGTACTTTTATAGATAATTTACCATGCAGGGTCGTGCGAACAAAGTGAGTAAATTTGTGGACAAGTAAAAGGGGTCCAGAAACATTCAAATAATTGTACATGCACTTCATATTCGATGTACATTGCTCATTACTTTTCGATTCATGCTTTAGAATAGTTGATTCATGTTACGTATAATTAGATCTTTAATTTTTTTTATATAGCCCTTGCAAAATTCGAGCTCGGACACATTGATTTATTGTCGACCTTTGTTTTAGAAAGATCTATTTATACTCATTATTATATACTTTCCTTCATTGGTTCTTGTAAATGATTTACAGCTTTTTTTAAAGTCAATGTCAGTGCGTATAGGCCATAATTTTAAATTGGCTTTTTAGGGGCTTTTGAATGAAATCGATTCGTGAGAAACGAGGAAAACATTCTCATTAAACGACTGTCTCGACTCTTATTACATTTTATTATTATTATTATTTTTGTTGAAATTTCCAGTTAATCGTTACGTTGTCACAGTATCAGAAAAAAAGTTCTCGAAAAGTCATTTTGACGCTTCAGTTATTTGAGAGCGATCGTGTCAAGAAAGCGTATCAAAATGAAACGTTTTACGAAATTCAATCCTTTACGCCTGAATCGAGATTTCATTACTTTGTTCTTGAAAGGTATAGTTTCTGTTGTCGCAGTGAAATTGGCAGAATAACGTAAATTCCTGAGCAAATGAGACTTCTTGTCATTATTTCGAAAAAAAGGAAAATTCAAAATTATCAAATTTCGTGTGACATTTAAATGTATTTAAAACAATTAAAAGATAATAAATTTCATCTGTCTTTTCTTGATCGGTAATACCTATCACACTTTATTTTACGAGTCCATTTAAGTAATTACTTATTACTATAAAGTAATTACTCGATAACTATCATTCGAAAACCCATAATCATTATCGATCTCATCCCGAAAGTGTAATTATTTTACACCCCATGCTTATGCACGAAAGCTAACTCTGATGTACTCGATAATGATCCTTACAATTCATTTTGATCAATCATAAAAAACGATAAATTCATCGATGTCAATCAGATATATCCGTAAAAACACACACCCACACAAACACCTCGTGCGGGTGTTGGAAAAAAGGGCGGCCAACACGTATCATCGTCGCTGCGTCATCCATCGCGCTTACCGCGCGTGTGCGTATGTGTGCCTGCGCGTAGGCTAGCTCGGTAGATTCAATACACCGCGGAATTTCTCAAATTCTCATTGAGCCGCAGCAGCAGCCTACGAGCTTATACTACGGAGAGACCGAGCGAGCGTCCGACCAGACAGATGCAGCAGGCGTGCACCGGTGCATGTTTAAATTTAAGCCTCAACCCGAGTCTCGGCGTGTATATTTAGGCAAGTGGCGCGCATGCGCGATCGGAATTAAACAACCGATGAACATGAATGTCGTACACCGTGTACGTGTATATGCGAGCAACGACGTCGTCTGGGGCCGATATATACTTATACCTGAGCACGAGAGTTTCTCTCTCTCTCTCTCTGTCTCCCGTATGTGCTGTGTAGTATTATCCCACGCTCCGTGTCAACCCGAAATTTCGCTATCGACGCTGCACACGTTAAAATCGCGATACGTTGGCAAAAGTAATTGATCCATTCCAAAGTTCGGTAGCGCGTGCGTGCATAGTGAGAGCTTTTATCTTCTTATGAACGAGCGCCTGTCGCCGATCGTCGTCGTTGACAGTGAGATTTTGTGCTTGAAAAGATAGAGAGAGATATTGAGTGAGAGAGAAGAAGAAAAAATCAAAGACTAAACATGGAGGGTTTAGATGTTTGGGGTCAAATTGCGGTCGAGACGTCGCAAATGTACGTCAGCGAGGGTGGAGTGATCAAAAGTCGATTCGCAAACACCGTAAGTTTTGCCCCAAAAAAACACGAGTACAATTCGCCCACCTCCTCGTACCTAGTCAGATCATTTCACAACATGTGTGTGTGCGTGTGTGTGTCTGAGTCTGTGTATCGTCATCAAGGCCGAGCACAATAAAATAATATATCGCTCAATGTAACTAACAGCTCGCGTACAAAAACTGAGCTTGCGATCGAGCTTTTTGTCATCTACTGATTTCCCTCGTGGGGGGACTCGACGTTACGTCCCAAAAGAAAAAAATTATAACAATGATTTCCTCTCTCGTAGACGATCGAGAAGCTGCCGGACAAGGTGCTGCTGAACGCGTTCAGCTACCTGTCCCATCGGGAGATCTGCCGCATGGCCAGGGTGTGCAAGCGCTGGCGCACGATCGCTTACGACACCAAGCTCTGGTCGCACGTCTCGCTCAGGCCCGAGATCAGTGGCCTTCACGTGGGCTCGCTCGACAATCTCCTTCATCTCATCAGGTAAATTGTATAGAGCTCAGAAGTAATCGTAACGCAATATACGAGTCTCTTGCAATTGTTATACGTGCTTTTGCGTGCAGTGTCAGATTCGGCGCGTCGCTGCGCTACATCGAGCTGCCGATCGAGCTCATCACCCACACGGTGCTGCACGAGCTCTCCAACAGATGCCCCAATCTCACCCACATGCTGCTCGACTTCTCCACGGCCATGCAGCTGCACGACTTCTCCGAGATGCAGGCCTTCCCCACCAAGCTCAGGTACATGTGCATCTGCCTGTCCGAGGTCATTTTCATGGAGGGCTTCATGCGCAAGATTTACAACTTCATCAACGGCCTGGAAATCCTTCACCTCATAGGTTTGTATACGCATTGACGCTGAAAAGAAAAAAGAAATTTTTCGGTTGGAATGTTCAACGTGAATAATTATTATATATTTTAAATTTAAATTCAAGTGCTTTACAAATACATTAATTGGCTTATTTTTGAAGATTTTTATTGCAATTTAGAATTTTAGAAATGTTAATCGTACTTAAAAAAACACGAAAATGATCATTTAATTGTTGCAAAGAGTTGAGACCAGTTTTCAGACACTTTTCAATACAACAATACTTTACTATTTCAAGTCTCTACCGCTAGGTGGCGTACACGTTTAAATTTGTATATCTGCAAGAGAAAAAGTCAAAACAATTGTATAAGTTAAAGCGCACTTTATTATTGACATTGGTGATTGTATTCATCGTGTCCAAAAACTACCCATATAAAATAAAAAAGGATTTCTCCCCAACATTAGTTTCTCGAAATTTAAACGAGAAAAAAAAAGCAAAAAATTTTACCTCTCGCACTCGATCTCGCAGGAACTTACGAAAAAGTCGAAGAGGAGGAGGAGGAGATCTACGAGGTGATAAACGTGCACAAGCTGAAGTCTGCGACCCCGAATCTGCGCGTCATCAATCTCTACGGGATTAATTTCGTCGACGACTCGCACATCGACGCCTTCTCGTCCAACTGCATCCAGCTCGAGTGCCTGGCCGTGAACTTTTGCGCCAAGGTCACCGGCTCGACCATGAAGACCCTCTTCCAGAGGAGCAGGCGGCTCAGGTGTCTCCTCATGCACGGGACCAGTGAGTATATCAACACATCGCATATGTATGCTTGAAAAATTTCGATACATATTCGTGCGCACCTTTAGATCTGCACAGCGAGTACGTGATGCAGGTCGAGTGGGAAAAGTCGAGCATCCAGGAGCTGGACGTGACGGCCACGGACCTGTCGACCGAGTGCCTGATCGACATGCTCAGCCGCATACCGGGTCTGCGCTTCCTCAGCGCCGGCCAGCTCAACGGCTTCAACGACGCCGTGATCAAGGCCTGGATGGAGATGGGCAATCCGCGCAATCTCATCGCCCTGGACTTGGACAGCTCGGACAATCTCAGCGACGACGCGCTGCACAAGTTTCTGTCGCGCCACGGCCATCAGCTCGCGGGTATCGCCCTGTCCGGAATGCCCCACATTACCGATCAGCTGTGGCAGAGCGTCCTGCCGATACTCACCAATGCCAAGTGAGAAACACTGATTTCATATTTTATCTATTTATTTTTTTTTTACGTCGATTGAAAATTAACACGAAACCGTTGTACGCTACGTATAGGATCGTCGTGATGGGCACCGGCGAGAGGCTCGGCGTCAATATACACGTGGACCAGCTGATGGACGGCATCGCCAACAGCTGTCCGAATCTCGAGCGGCTGGAGCTGCGATGGGACCCCGAGAACCTGCGATTCTCCGACAAGAGCCAGAAGGCCATCGACATACTGCGCGTCAAGTGCGTCAAGCTCAAGTGCCTGACGCTGAGGTGAATCGCCGTTTCATTCGTTATTCTTGATTTTGCCCCTTCTACATTTCCGTGACTCGATAAATCAAACATTATTATTTTTTTTTTGTCCAACGCAGCGACGGCAGATATTACGAAATCGTCAAAGCCAACTTCGAGAGAGCGGACAGAACGACGGTGGTGAGAACGTCGACCTGTTATCGCGTGTCCAACTATCACCTCTTGCAAAATTACAAGGACTTAGTTTTTAATTAATTATATACGTACACGTGTAAGTCGAGTAGAGGAGACGACGAATAATATTTTATGCCAAAGACAGAAATGATCCATTTCGAAAGTATATTTTATACGATGCAAATGATATTTTTTTATGTAAGGTTTGTGTGCGAAATGGCAGAGTTCAATTGAAACGATATTGCATATATTGTGTGAGAAACAAAAGAAAAATTAAATATTATCCACGACGCGTTAGACTGAACGATTTAAAGCACGGAAATATGTACATTATTTTGCCGTAATAACGAGTGGTAAATAATATATAGTCAATTCGAATAGCTCTTTATAGATTCAATTTATTCTCTGGATACATTTTTAAAGTCATTTACAAAAAAATCAAAGTAACCACTTGTCAATCTACGCAATCTAGTATCGGTAAGGATTTAGACGTATATTCGTTAAAAAATGATATTTGTCCTAACACTGTAAAATACAATAATACATAGTTTTTTATCGAGCTCTACATGTTTATCAAAATGAAAAAAGAGCGTGAGTGAGTTGCAAAACTGCCATGATTATTTATATTTTTAGAAGTACTTATATAAATTATCGTTGACATCCAATAAACTGAAGACAAAAAATTAGTATCGAGTTGATACTTGAGTAAAAGTGTAAATTATAATCGGTCCATGCAGTCGACGAGATATATTGCTTATATTATACATATATTTTTATGCATATACAGAATGTAAATTTTAGTTTGCGAGTGTTCATTAAAAAATATGATTTCTACATGTGACTATGATTTTTTGGGTGCACAAAATTTAAGAATCACTTTTTTTACGTCTACTTTAAAAAATAAAGGTTAAAAAATCCTAAAACCCGAGAGAAATTAAAAAATTAATGAGGAAATAGCGTCGTTTTAAATTAATAAGGATGTAGCTTTTAGAATAATCTACAAATCCTTAAGTTTTTGTCTCAAATACAAAAAAGTAAAACAATAACTAGTTTCGAATCTCAGTATGTAACTTTAAATATATTAATCCAATGAATTCTAATATTTCAAAATTTAAATCAATCTTTGATCATATTTTAGTTTATGTAACAAACAGAAGTATAAGGTTTTCATAGTCACGAAAAATAAGTAAATGTTTGAAATATTTTATTTTTCACAGTAAAACTGAAGAATATTTGAGCTCGTCCAGCATAAGTCGGTCAGTGCCGTGTCTTTAGCTCGTTCACAAACGTTTACCAAGAGTCCCAAAAAAAGTCCATATACACGGATCGATAGACTTTTCCCTATTCTTTCTAGTGGCGTTGTTGAAAAATTCTTAAAAATTGATTTTGCGATTAAAGCTCGACTTGAATGTTTGAGTTGATTTAACTCACATATATGTTCTTCGATTTCAAAATAAACTGCACCAATCGAAAGAGGAGGCAAAAATCTAACAAAAATGTTGTTCTCCAGGATGGAGAAATGATAAGAAATATTAAAGATACGGAGATGAATGAGCGCGGGTCGGCGGGCGCGGACCTCTTTACCGTGTGTTAACGGTTCACACGCGCGGCGCCGAGTCTTTGTCTCTTCGACTCGCTCACAATCGCTAAAAAAATGCTGGAAAAATAATTTGAACCCGTAAATCGATAGATTTTCCTCTTTTTTCGATTGGTCATGTTAATTTTGAGTTTAAAATTGAAATACTTGAAGAAATATTGACTTCAACATTCAAGTCAAGTTTCGACTATGAAAAAAAGCGTTTCAAGCTACAAAAAGGCATCGTACAAAAAACGCTGTATCTCAGCGATGCTTATAAATTTTTAAAATCTGAAAACGGCATTGGAAAGGCCAGAACTTGACTTCAACATTCAAGCGAGAGTCATCGTTTTGATGGAAATACGCGACGTGTTTGGCTGTTTGTACGATTGAGTTTGATGCGCTCCAATCAATTAGTTCAATAATTTGAAATTTTTTATTTGGAAATATATTGTGCTCATGAATAAAAAAATCGAAACTAATTTTTTAAATTTATTTATTTGAATAATTGATGATTGAACATATACAACATTAAATAACTGCAAATATGCTAATTGCTATCACGAGCTTTGTAGAGCATCCGCCAAACAAATACGATGGTAGTCTTCGTTCTTTAGATTCTCGATGATTTTTTCACAGCAGAGAACCGGAAACTTGCAGCGTGTCAGGTCCAAGAAAGATACCGTTGCCCAACTCCGGAAAAACATTCTCGATATCATCTCACAAAGATGCAAAACACAAGCTTCGCTAAGCTTCTTAGGGAGCTTACGAAATTTGCTATAGCACGCAAAGTGATACAAATCCTTTAATGTTATTAGTTTTGCCAGCTCTTGGGGTTGTAACCGTATGAGGTCGTAGAGCGACAGATCCTGTGCCCTCAGCTTTATATTCTTCGTTTTTCTCGCTTTTTTCACCAATTTTCCGCCGTCGCGGCCATAACGACATTTTTCGAAATTCGCCGACTTCTCGAACATTTCATAGTCTGCGAAAACTTTCATGATCGTCAGGGCGTTACTTCGGTCTAGTTCGTATCCTTTATTCTCGAGACACTCGACGACGGCCATTGCACAAGACGCAATTCTCAATTTAAAATTAAGCTTACTTTCACCTTTGTATGGTAGTAATTTCTCAGCGAAATAATCCTCGGTGGGAAAAACGAAGCTGGACAGATCAGCGCCATTATCCAAGAGTACATCGACCATATTCGGCAAGAGATTTGCCACGGCCAATTGTAGAGGTGTCCGGCCTAACTTGTCCCGGGCGTCGATCTGCACCAGCTGATTGAGTTCTTTGTTAATATCGATGAATTCCTCCGCAAAGTAGAAGTTAGTCTTGACAATGATGTGCAGAGGAGTCAATCCCTCCTCGTTAACCGAGTTTGGATCGGCACCGTTTCTCAGTAACCATCTGAGATGTTGGCCAAGGGACCAGAGCGCAGCCAAGTGCATTGGTGTATTACCTAACTTGTCTCGAGCGTCGAGCTGCACCGGCTGCTTCGTGTCATCGCTGATATTCCAGAATAACTCCCACAAACTATCATTACAACGCCTTTTGCAAATAATATGCATAGGAGTCAATCCCTCGTTGTTAGCTGCATTCGGGTTGGCGCCTATCTCCAGCAACGCTCGGACCACGTGTTTTGCATTGGAATAAAGAGTTGACACAGCCAAGTGCAATGGTGTGTTGCCCAACTTGTCTTGGGCATCAACTTGTCCTAGCTTCAATTTTTTCTTGAGCTCGAATATCATTTCCATATTCGGGGAATTCCAATAATTAATGCCAACGACGTGCAAAGATGTTCTTCCGTCTTTGTTGGCTAAACTCGGATCCGCGCCGTGTTTTAGCAACAATCGCGACACATCTCTTTTGTCGTGGCTCAGAGCCAAGTACAGTGGGGAATTACCCGTTTTTTGCACGAGGAGATTAGGATCCTGGCCGAGCTCGAGGAATTTTTGGACGACGTCTTTCAAACCATACTCACAGGCCACATGGAATTGTGTACATCCCAATTCGTCGATGTAATTCAAGTCAAATCTGTTGTAAATGTTAAAAAGTTTACGGATAATAGGAATGATCGTCGGATCTCGAAGCATGGGACGAAGTTGAGTCCAGTTGTTGAATCGAGACACATGATGCAGTGGTGTCGTGCGACGCAACAGTGGCTTGCCATCTCTATTAACTTCGGGCTCGTCCTTGTAGCCGATTTTGTTCACAAAGTCGAGGAATTTCCATTGATATCTAGTTGCATCATAATTTCGTTCGTAAAATTCAAGGTCAGTTATATTATCGAAGAATTCGTTCAGATTCTTCACCTCCTGAATGAGAAGCCAGTTGATTTCTTTGGATCGAAAAATACTGCAAAGATCTGAAAGTCCAATTGTCCAATCACTGATTAAGGGATAAAGTTGACGGAGCAATTCATTACGCTCTTTTTTAACCTTCCAATTGATATTTTCACGTAAATTCTTCAAACTTTCTAATTTTTTTTTATGAAAATCGTCATGGCCATGGAAACTCTCAGCGGATTGGTCGTCGGAAGACATGTCTATCGTTCAATGCAATCACACACAATACACAAACGCGATAAAATTTAAAAAAAAGTTACTTTTTGTGAGAACTACTCGCTGTATGAACAGAACACGTGGCCGAAAATGACAGATATTTTTTCAAGAAAATTACGTGTACCCGTCAATGCGGTCTTCTGCGGATGCTTACTGGTTGATGTCTCCAGTAGAACTGACTCTGCACATACACTGTTCGATTTATGAAGAGAACTCAAAAACACGAGGTGGAAATTACGAGACTTTTTTCACGAGAATCACACGTAGCCGTCGATGCAGTCAGTAACCTCTGATGCTTATGCGTAGGCGTCTTAATTATGACTGACTGCGCACATGCACTGTACCATCTATGAAGAGAGCTCAAAAACACGAGGTGGAAATTACGAGAGATTTTTTTTACAAGAATCACACGTAGCCGTCGAAGCAGTCAGCTTTCTCTGATGCCTCCGTGTCGGCTTCGCCTCGGCGTCATTATGAGCCATGTTCACATTCCAAATATTCATAATTCCGAATATTCATAAAATGTCAGATTCGGCGCGTCGCTGCGCTACATCGAGCTGCCGATCGAGCACCAAACTCAGGTACATGTGCATCTGCCTGTCCGAGGTCATTTTCATGGAGGGCTTCATGCGCAAGATTTACAACTTCATCAACGGCCTGGAAATTCTTCACCTCATAGGTTTGTACAAGCGTTGACGTTGAAAAGAAAAAAAGAAATTTTCCGGTCGGAATGCTCAACGGGAATAATTATGGTTCGATGGTATTTTTCACACCATCGAACCATATTTCAAATTTAAATTCAAATGCTTTACAAATACATTAATTGGTTTATTTTTGGAGATTTTTATTGCAATTTAGAATTTTAGAAATGTTAATCGTACTTAAAAAAACACGAAAATGATCATTTAATTGTTGCGAAGAATTGAGATCAGTTTTCAGACACTTTTAAATACAACAATATTTTACTATATCAAGTCTCTACCACTAGGTGGCGTACACGTTTAAATCTGTAAATCTGCAAGTAAAAAAGTCATAACGATTGTATAAGTTAAAGCGCTGTTTCATAAAAGGCAAATTATAATTTATTATTGACATTGATAATTTCATTCATCATGTCCAAAAACAACCCATATATAAATATTGAGGATTTCTTCCAACATTAGTTTCTCGAAATTTAAACGAGAAAAAAAAAGCAAAAAATTCTATCTCTCGCACTCGATCTCGCAGGAACTTACGAGAAAGTCGAGGAGGAGGAACCTCCGGCGAGAGGCTCGGCGTCAACGGAATGACATGGAAAATGAGGAAAAACCATATTTTTTTGCTCTTCGCAAGCTATCAAATTGTGTGTAATACAGACTCAGTTACCAAACTGTATCAGAAGTTGTATTTTGGTATATCGATGAACATATTACAATATGGGCCAATGTGAGGCATACAAACATATTTATTTTTTGACCTTCATGGTCTTAAACACTATTTTTTCAATTTTAAGGGGTTTTGAGGTTATAAATGTCTCATCTGAGAACAGATTCGCATTCTACATCAAATTTTACATGAAAAAACATGATTTAAAAATTTTTTCATACGCATCCCAAAAAAGCAGAGTAATAAACAGAATATCCTCAAAACATAAAAATCCAACTTTGAGCCCCTGTAGATCCAT